GGTTTTGGCTTTCTGTGTTTTCACTATGATATGTCTATTTATGAATATCTTTGTGTTTATGTTCTTGGAGTTCCTTGAGCTTTCTGGATGTATAGACTATTTTTTTTTTTAATTCAGGTTTTCAATGATATTTTTTTCTGTTTCTTTCTCCTTCTCCTCCCTTAGTACACTCATTACATATTTGTTGGTGCACCTAATGGTGTTATTCATTTTTTGAGACTCTGCTTATTTCTCTTTATTCTTTTTTTCTTTCTCTTCTTTAGTTTGTGTATTCTTTATTGTTCTATCTTTGAGTTCACTTATCATTTCTTCTGCCAATTCTACTGTTTTGGTCACTCTAGTTAATGCTTTATTGTCCCTCTCATGGGCTTTTTCTTTTTGCCAGCTGTTTTCCCCCATGGGTTATATTTTCTTCATTCTTTGTATGTCTCATAATCTTCTGTTGGAAATTAGGCATTTTAGATAATATAGCAAAACTGGGTACTATCTTCTGAAGGCTTATTTTATTCTCTTGTTTGTTTAATGACTGGCTGGATTGTTTTAGTGAAGTCTATTTTCCCCCTGTAGTATTAAATCTCTGATGTTTCACCTCAGGGAATCTCAACCATGGGTGTGTCCACAGTCACCTTAGAATTACAATTGTTTGGGCAGGGCTCTCCTTGATTGCCTTTTCCCCTGACCACGTTTAGCTGTTGAACTCCACTAATTACCAACAAGATTTCTGTATTGTTTGTAAGGCTGCCTTGGAACCTAAATTGCTCTAAGGACCAATCCATTCAAATTTGATCTCCTTTGAAAGAGTAGTTTCCTAGGTCAGACTTTCAGATTCGTTCTGACCCAGGTGGGCTCCCGAGGCTCCCTCTTTCCAAGATTCCCTGCTTTTCACTCCCCTGGGCAAAATCCTGAGCTATTGGCTCTGGAGCTGGTGTGAAGATTATGGCATGTTTCTCTGAGGAACAGCTATACCTTAGGACAGAGCATATGATGCCGAGGGAAAAATAGCCTCAAGATTTTTTGGCTTGCCTCTCCCAGTGAATAGTGGGCTAGGGAAAGGACTATTGAGGCTCCATATTCTCAGCGGCACAGTGCCCAGCCAGAGCCTCTCTCCCATGAGTGGGGACCAGGAGGAAGAAAAGAGTCCCTGCCTCTTAACCACACTGACTTAGAACTTAGCTTGAACAGTAAGTAACTAGGAACAGAATGACAATGTCTGACATCACACCTTTCCCCCAGAAAATAGTCCTCCAACTGCTCGCTGCAGGGAGAAGGACCCCTGTATTCTTGACTAAACCAGTTTGGAGTAAAGTTTCTACCTCACTGAGCTGAGACAAGGAAGGATGGGAGTGGGTTCTTGTTCATGCACTCTCAGAGTCTTACCATTCTTACCAAGCTCTAGTCGATTTTCTTAAATAAGTGTTTCTTTATTTGCTGCTTGCCTCCAGATCCATTTCCAGAATCTTTAAACGTTTTTCCATTTATAATTTTCACCAGTTTCACTGGAAAGCACATCTGTGGAGCTCCTTTTGCTATCATGCTGAAATGGAATTCTCTGATAAGATACGCTTTCATAAATAAAAAGAAAGTCTTAGAAGATTGTTGAAGCTAAAATCAATGTATAAGGCAGTTAAATTATCAGCAGCAGTGAGTTGAAAATATATTTTTAAAAAGGTAACTAAATTGTAAACAGGTTTACTATCACAAGAAACTATATACAGCAGCAAAAATAAATCTAACAAAAAGATGTGGACATTTTTGTAAGCTAAAAACATTTTATTGACATGTATTAAAGAACATACATAAATCACTCTTAATGTAAAAAACTGATGATAAAGATGTAATTATTTCAAAATTGGTTAATATTTAAATATAACTTCTACCAAATTTCTTATAGGAATTTTTATAAAACTTATAATCTGATTCTATATTTTTCAGAGAAGAGCAAATGAACAATAATAGCCAAAATATCCTTAAAGAACATGGTATGAGAAAATGCTGTAACCAATATCAAGATTTATGATAAAGTTTTCATTCATAAGAAACAGGGTATTCCTTCAGGGTTAGAGAACCAGATTATTGAAACAGAAGAGAGATCTCTTAAAAGAATGAGGACGCATAAAAATTTCATTTGTGAGAAAATGAGCTTTGACGATCAGTAGGTAAGTGACAAGTTACTCCATAATTAAAATTGAGAAACTCAACTTTAGTCTAGAAAACAATCAAATTAATACAACCTAAAAATAGTTGTATATAATTAAGAAATTTTAAATAAAAATTTTTCAAATAAGGCTTGAAAACACTAATTATAAAAGATTAATAAAATAAACTATATTAAAATCAAAAATTTTAATGAAATGAAAAGGCATGTGTTAAAGAAGTTAGAGAGTGTTAAAGAAGAAAACACAACTTTGTAGAAGATATTTACTACATTTAGGATTTTAAAAATTATTCCAAAATCATTAATTTGTGCTTTGTGAAATTGCTAATATTCTATGGTTTTTGATGTGTAAAATAATGGCGATTTCATTTAGCCTAATGAAAGAACTCAAGTAAATTGAAAACAAATACAAATACCAATGCAAAAATAGGAAAAAAAAAAAAAAAAAAAAAAAAGATGAGTAGGTAAAAAAAAGGAATTGATGTTGCCTGGAACTGGCAGGTAAAATTTAGCAAGAATAACTCACAGACTTTCTTTACTCAGTCAACAATTTTCTGTGTGTAGAAAGGAGAGCAAATTCCAGGATTAGTAAAAAAAAATATATGTAAGTATGAATTTAGTGTTAGACCCACCAATGCTTTTCTCAGTAGTAAAGGCGATAGCTTTGTTCTGCACTAAGCAATATTCCTGCTACAGTTTCTAAATTATTATAATAGTCTGTTATAAAAGGAGAATATGGAAAGATTGTTTCTCATAGAAATAATGTCAACCACAAACAGACAATAGCCTCACTTCAGTTTTATTAACTGTCTCTTGAAGAACAAATTCTATCTTTTGTTTTGAACTATGGTGTACAAAACCATCCAGAAATATTCTTTGTACTAATTAGCTGTACTCATACTTGTCATATACTTTCTGAAAATATAACACAACTATATAGTCTGTATCTGTTTTGAGATAATGTTCCTCACTTTTAGCTTACTGGTATTTCCGTCTAGGTCATGACAATAAAGATTACTGGATCATTTTGTATATAACTGCTTAACTACATTAGAAATTTCTTTTTCTAAGTATATTCAAATTACTATATAATGATGTACAACCAGAAGAAATTCGGAAAACAATTGTTAAATCAGAGTGCTTTTTCTATTTGACTGCTTATTCGAAAAGCATTATAGGCCTGTTTATATCTTAAACAAAGCAAAATTAAATATAACTATACATCTATTTTGGGGAATGGCTATCAGTTTTTGGAAATCCTAGTATAGTGCTGTATGGTAGAGTAGTTTTATAAAACTTATCTGAAGTCATCTGAATGGAATATCTCACTTAGTTGAGTATTTTGGAAATCAGTAGGATACTGATGCTCAGAAATTGGATGGCAATGGTTTGGAATCATTACTATTATATGCAATGATTAGGTAGCCCAGTGTCCTGGGGTCTCTAATTTGCCAATATTTGAAAAAACAAATAAAAAAAAAAACAACCCAAATAATTATTTTGCCCAAATAACACTATGCACAGTAACCAAACTTGTGTTTGTTTGCTTTTGGCTGTAATATCACTGACAGTTAATCAACATTTCCATTTTGAGTAAATGTATATCTTTCAGTAATCAACATGAGAAAGCAGATTAACAATTATTATATACGATGTGACTGCAATTTATGAGATGAGGATGAATGACAACCAAATATTTCAACTTGGGGGTGAAAGTTTGAGAACTGTGTGTCTAACATGGGAGCAGCCACTTCTCACTGACCAGTTTTACTTTGAACTGAAGTATATTCTTAAGTATTGCTTAACTGTTGCTCCAGACAACCAGTGTATATCTCCATATAATTAACTGACACCTGCAAAATGGAGCACAAGCTTTTATGACTTCCCATTTTGTTCTTATTATGTAACCACTATAGGTCTTCTCTACAGAATTTTAATGTATGTCGCATATCTCCTCCGGGTAGTAAATAAGGCTTTTGCTGTATCTTAATGTGAATGCTCTAGGCCATGAGTGACTCTCTTTTTAGGTACCTGTGGGGAATCAGCAAAGTGCATTGTTTTGCAACCGTATTGTTATACAGTCCAACTTTTAATACAGAGCTTCTCAAACTTGTGTTTCAAATATGATGACATTTTATCCAATCAAATTTGCTTAACCTATTATCATTCTAAATAAATGATTTATTTTATTATCAGGCTAAATAAAGAAAAGCAAACTTATGTATGGTATACGGAGACGAGATAATATATGTCTTCGGAAGGGACACTTACAGATTATTTTTGTAGAAGAAATGTTTTGCATTTTTAAGGTGATGATGGTAAAACTCCCTTGGTCCATCCGGGGTCCCATTCATTCAACCTGTTACGGTTGTTCTGGTCCATGCTGATTGAAAAAGTACGGGTTGGGCGCGGTGGCTCACGCCTGTAATACCAACACTTTGGGAGGCCGAGGCGGGCAGATCACGAGGTCAGGAGATCTAGAACATCCTGGCTAACACAGTGAAACCCCGTCACTCCTAAAAATACAAAAAATTAGCCGGGCGTGGTGGCGGGCGCCTGTAGTGCCAGCTGCTCGGGAGACTGAGGCAGGAGAATGGTGTGAACCCGGGAGGCGGAGCTTGCAGTGAGCTGAGATCGTGCCTCCGTCTTAAATTAAATTAAATTAAATTAAATTAAATTAAATTAAAAAATGAGCGGAGACGAGTCGGGGAGAAAGCCTGAGCAGTCCACTGAAGTTGGGATTGTCTTGAGGTTTGCAAAAGGTTCATGAACTAGGAAAAAAAAAGTGTTATTTGGGCAGTCATTTTGAAATGATGCAACTTATTGTGATTTTTACTTTTTCCAGATAATTCCCTCAGTATTTTGGCAAAGCATAATGGATTCAACCGCCAGAAGCAAGAAGTCTATCTTTTACCAATCATAATCAGTGATAGTGGAAACCCTCCACTGAGCAGCACCAGCACCCTGACCATCCGGGTCTGTGGCTGCAGCAATGACGGTGTCGTCCAGTCTTGTAATGTTGAAGCTTATGTCCTTCCAATTGGACTCAGTATGGGCGCCTTAATTGCCATATTAGCATGCATCATTTTGCTGTTAGGTACGTATTTCCTTCATAGCCTTCACCCTTTTTCTGGTTCATAAATAACTGTAAATAAGGACAGAAAACTCTCATCTATACAGGCAACAGCATTCCCTTGGGGAAGAGGAACTTCCTTTCCTTCTCCAAGTTTTGAGATCTCTAAGAAGAAGTGAAGAGAAAAAGGGTTGAGCTAGTAAATGTCCAATTGAAGAGGACTTTCAGTGCCTTTTTCAATTCCATCACCAGTAAATCAATGAATAAGGCATAATGGTGGTGGCAGTGGGGAAGTGCTTTTGTGTCGTTACAACACCATCTATTACATAAGAAGAACTCTGGGTGTGAGGCACACCAGTTCACTGCAACAGCAGGCTCTACTATGCCCACAATAGTGTCTCATTATAGATTGGGTTGCCGAGTCCATTGGATCCCAAATTTGGTGACATGAAAAGAAAGCAAATAAGCAAACTAAATATAAGTTTTCTTCAAATTACCATTGCTTTTCTCTGACATTTTCCTTGATATAAACATCAATTTAAAATGATTGCAAGTTAAGATTCTATAACCTTTTAATAAAAAACATCCAATTATAAAATGAGATTACACAATAGGAAAATAGAAAAACAAGAGAGTCGTATCTTATCCTACCCTTGAGGAACAAAACACTTTAAGACGGTGTCAGTTACTGTCTTTCTTGTTCCATCTGTCTTGCTCACCCAGTGCCTTGGATTTAAGCATCACTTTGCTGACATATTTTGCTCCATTAACCCACATTTGATTTGGCTGATCTGGCTAGTTGGGTATGTTTTCCTTGCCCTTTCTTCACATTCAGGTTTCTCTTCCCAGCTAGAGGCATTCCAGCCCTCCCACAAGACAAGTTGCCCGTGCAAATTTGACATTCACTTTTTTAATAAAAGAATGTAATTTAACTGGAGAGTGCCTTGAAAAACTGTGAAAGCCCAAGGACCTACTTTGCTCCTTTTTTTAATAGAAGGGAGCTTTGGAACCAAAGGATGTTAAAGGACTTGCTTGAGACATACATCAAGCTAGTCATACTTTCAGTGCTATTTTTTATTTTGTGCCACTCACTCTAATGATCAAAACAGTATAAAATGTAACTTTCACCATGAATGCATGCATGCCAATTCTTTTAACCCAGCTCTATCAGCGTATAATAAACCAGTAATCTGGAACAGTATTTACTCAAAATTTAATGTTCGTCATTCAGAAAGATGTTTAGCTTAATTCTCCAGTAAATATTATTAAAGGTGTATGCTCACACGATTTTGTAAAAATACCCCTCTCTCCTAACATATATAGTGTGTTGCTTGTGAAATTATATGCTTGTTTGGCTGACTGTTATTTAATATTTTTCCTCTAGTCATCGTGGTGCTGTTTGTAACTCTACGGCGGCATAAAAACGAGCCATTAATTATCAAAGATGACGAAGACGTTCGAGAAAACATCATTCGCTACGATGATGAAGGAGGAGGGGAGGAGGACACAGAGGCTTTTGACATTGCAACTTTACAAAATCCAGATGGAATTAATGGATTTTTACCCCGTAAGGATATTAAACCAGATTTGCAGTTTATGCCAAGGCAAGGGCTTGCTCCAGTTCCAAATGGTGTTGATGTCGATGAATTTATAAATGTAAGGCTGCATGAGGCAGATAATGATCCCACGGCCCCGCCATATGACTCCATTCAGATATATGGCTATGAAGGCCGAGGGTCAGTGGCTGGCTCCCTCAGCTCCTTGGAGTCCACCACATCAGACTCAGACCAGAATTTTGACTACCTCAGTGACTGGGGTCCCCGCTTTAAGAGACTGGGCGAACTCTACTCTGTTGGTGAAAGTGACAAAGAAACTTGACAGTGGATTATAAATAAATCACTGGAACTGAGCATTCTGTAATATTCTAGGGTCACTCCCCTTAGATACAACCAATGTGGCCATTTGTTTTAGAGGCAAGTTTAGCACCAGTCATCTATAAACTCAACCACATTTTAATGTTGAACCAAAAAAGATAATAAAATAAAAAAGTATATGTTAGGAGGTTATAAATCTTGTGGAGTGTGAATTAAGTATGTGGAGTGTCTAGAAGTCCTTGGATATTTGATATTTACCTGACCACCACAGACAAAGATTGGGATCCTGGCTAATCCTTAGAGAAATGGTTTAAAAAGAGGAAAAAAATCAAAATTAAAAGGTGCTTTCTTAGAAAAAAAAATACGGACCTGCAAGGAATCTGCTGCTGATATGTGTCTTCTGCAAGGATTTTTATGAATGCAAATGGTTTTTTTCCCCTTCACCAATAAGGATCCCGCCACAAATGATAAAGCAATACTTGGTCTGCTGTACATTATAACTTTTTGGAGTTTTGAGAGGCCTCCTAGATTATATGGTACGGTGACCACACATTGTACATAATTGTTGGCCCCACTCACCAGAGACTGAATAGCATCTTTAAATATTGTGTCGAGCCTTAAAATATTCACATATTCGTAATCCATTCCAGGGTGGGGCTTGCCAATTCAGTGGTGGGAGGAGAGAAATCCCATTCAAACATGCTTGTTTTCTAGAAGCAGGATTCCTCATTCCCTCCGCTTCATCTTCTTCCACAAGGACACAAAGATAAACTGTATTACACAGTGGACTACATAAGAGACAGATGGTTTTATTGCTAGCGCGTGAATTTATTTGTTTAATCCTCGAAATAAATATTTTATTGATGTCCATTAATGCTTTTATTTATTAAGGTTGGTAATCTATAGATTAAGGGGATATATGGGGAAAAAAACTAAATTATATCCATTAATAATCCTTTAGATTGTTTTATATAAATATATATACAATGAATGTTTAATACATGTACATTTTGATGAGATGAGTATGGCAGGCAATATTATCGAAAGGAGAGCTGATAGTCTCTTTAGAGTAGAAAGTGTTATTGTAACTGGTGATGGCAGGAACAGCATTTTCCCAGAGAAACTTTTGGACTGTTTTCTATTTTGTTCATAATCCTAGTATTTGGTGTTTTTACTACAAGCACAAACATCCTAAAGTATATTGATTCCTGTGAATATTTAAACTCTAGACTTTTAGATACCTACATAATGCCCTGCCCAAGAAACATGCTTCAAGTTACCCCCACAGTTTTAGAGCAGGAACTGATTTGTACATAATTTCACTGCTTACGTTTTTAGCACTCCTATCCCCGATCTTCATGGTGATGCACAGAATGTCTTAGACTCCAAAAAGGAACAGCACTAGAAGATGTGAGCATATTTAATTTGTAATGCAAACCTGCCATTTAGGAGTAGAAAATGTATGATAAAACTCAAGTATTACATGCAGATCATTTTAATTTTCTACTTTGCTTTAATGCAATATTGTTTATTTACTCCATGTATTGTATTCAGAGAAACTCCTGTATTGTTTCCTACTTTGTGAAATATATTTTTATAAATACCTTTGTTGTCATTAATTTTTTTTCAATCAGTGGAAGATCTATTAACAGAATCATCAACTCTAACTAAAATTCTAGAATACTCAACCAAACCATCCCAAGGGTCACTTTTGTTTGTAAGAGTCTTTATCATAAAGAAACAGAGAAGAGAAATGGCTTGCCAGTGATCATACACCAAGATGCCAGCAGGGACATAAAAAGAACATGGAACGCCTAAAGGCTAGTCCACCTGTGTCACTTGGGTCCTTCTGGAAGCAGACACATTGAGCAGGGAAAACCTGCAGACAAGTTTACAGACCTAAAACTTGTAACAAAGATTTGGCAAGAGAGTCTTAGACTGCAGTGCAGACCTGGCAAAATCTCTGCCAGCCTGACAGGGGGTTCTAGAGTGAAAACATATCCATTAAAGCAGTCAGGCTGTGGTCCTCCGTCATCTCAGTCACTGGTGTGGGTCTGCTAAGAAGAGAACGGTTTTTGACTCAAAAACTGAAGGCACCAACTTCTAGAGGCTACCTCCACTGTGACAGAAACAACATGTTTAAATACTATACTAACAATTTATAACTATCCAGTGGCTTAATCAAGCTTTTATTGAGTTTCTGCTGAGAATAAGTCATCTTTTCTATGTAGTATTATGACTAGTGAACACTTTTTCTTGAGGTCAAAAGGTTGGTCCAGCATGACTTTAAAATATACTAGGATTTGGCACAGTGTTAAAAGAAGTGCTTGGTGAATGTAAATTATTATTAGTAGTTTCAGTAATAATCAATAGTAATATTGTAACTATCTTACACCTTCCAAACTGAGGAGAGATGATTATTATGTTTTATGTATCTCTTGAACGTCAGGCTCATTTTTAGCATACGTTGAAGTTCCCAAAGATTATAGACACATAAATATGTCTAACAGAAAAATTACAGTATTTTTTAAGGAGTATAAAATCTATATCCTCAGATATTGATAATCAACAGGATAATCTTCATACAGTGGTTTCTGTGAGTGGGAGATAATGTCTGGTGTACCAGTTGACCAGACATTGCCTCAATATTCTCTTTGCCTAGGAAGACAGAATGAAACCATGAATCTCTTGCTGACTTTCTTTGCCACCACAGTGTCAGTATTTTGCATTTAAAAGTCTATTTCAGGTCTTGTAACATAGAATAAAGTGACCAATACCTTGATCCTAATAAGATTGACCTATACTTTTAGAGTGTCGTGAATTAAATTAAAAATCTCAGGAACTCTCTCTCTTTCTCTCTCTATCTCTCCCTTTCACACACACACACACACACACACACACACACACACACACACATACACACAATAAACAAATAAAAAACACATTTTACTTGAGGTTTTACTTTAGCAATAGACTTACCAGGACTTTCCCAACCAAAAGAGATCAATAAGGTTCCTAACATTTTCTAAGATTTAAGTTTCCCATGCTCAACTTGTTAAATAACACATTTTAAAAACTTTATTGAAATGACTATTTTTTTAAAGCTCTGTGCATTGTTGTCTGTTTCATCAACATTGGCATAGCAGAGACAAGAGTACTCTCTGCTAAATGGAGAAGAATGGTTAAGTCGGAGCGAAGTGAGACAAAGTTACCCCCCTCCGCCTGCCTCACAATTCAAGGTTCCTACCTAGGGAACTGATGCATCTCTGGGGGACTGGACACAACACGGGATCAATTCAGCCTCTACTCTGTCTATGATTTGATCAAATCATATTAGCAAAATGTCTCTTAAACATCCATATATGAATATTAAAGAGTATTAAGAGGGGCATTTCTTACAATATTTTTGTGAGTATAGTTATAAGTTTCTAAATACAATAAGTTTTATAATACGATGATTAAAATATCCTATTTTTAAATTCATGTGTTAACCTTGCCACACAGAATTATGACTTCTAGGGTGTAAACTTTAAAGTGAAACTGTTTTGAAAAAAATCTGCAGTTAAGTGTATGTGTATATATAGAAGAAAAGGAAACTTAGATTTACTGGTATCACCAGTGAGGCAAGAACGCTTAGAAAGATACAAATGTGTCTTTGGGAGAGTTTGCTTAATCAGATGCTTAAAGGAAGACAAGTCTCTGCATGAGACTTAGAAATCTCCTAGGAGCAGCCGGATTCCACACTGAGACTCAACAGAGTTCTGGGCTATGCTGTATTTTGGAAAAGGAAAAGCGGGTGCTGAGAGCTAAGTAGCCAATTACTCTTTATAGCCACATAAGGACTGAAGGCAAGTAGGCCCTTCCAACAAGTTGTATTATGCGATCACTGGCTTTGCAGGGAATCTCACGAATGTATAACCTTCTGATTGCCTTTTTGATTGAAAGTTCCATCTGAGATCAGGGCAGTGTAACCAGTAATAAGATTTCAAAAAATCCCATCACTGGCACTGTCGGAAAGGCTGAGCATGACTGAAATCCTATCATTGTCAGTCAAAAAGATAAGGTAACAGCAGGCATCACTATAAAAGCTCTATAAATGCACAACTTAAACATGAATATCAACATTAAAACGAATATATATATATATCCTTATACATATATTTATAAATATATTCATGTATATAGATATGCACACATATACACAATTAAGTTACTGGGTATAATTTATAGTTTTAATTTTTCATCTCATAATCTCATGCATTGCTAAAAAATTGAAATTGTGGCTCTCTTTTTTCATGAATCTAACCTTGAATTTGAAAGAAATTGAATTGAGGGTAAAGGGTTTTAAAAGCAGGTTTTTATTTGCGAACAGAATAACGGCTCATAATACCTGGGCTTAGAATTAAATATGTCACATTGTGAGGCTGTACTTAGACTTTTTAAATGTCATTGTATTTTTTTGTGGGAAAAATAAGTGTAGAATATATTTTGCAGGAAATACTTTTCTATACTTTTTTCAATTTCAATACTGTTTTATTTGCCATAAAAAGTGTCTTTGCACTGTTACTCAGTTAGCCAAACAGTGTTGAATGTATTTTTTGTCCTTGTAATTATTGCTTCTTATGAAAATTGTAGAAGAGCATGTCTTTATGATCTATCATTTAAAAATACATTTATTATCATTGTATTTTTAGTCAACACAAATTTATGGATTACATGGTATACTGTTGATATTGAAGATATTCTAGTCCTAGTATTTTGAGCACAGACCTAGTGTTATGGAGGACATAAAATTTAAAAATTTCCTGACTTGATGGGCTATCTGAGGAACAAGAATTTTGTCTGCCACATTTATTGAGTATCTATCAGTACAGAAATTAAGCTACATGGTTGATACAGAAATATTAAATACAGCAGCATTCTCAAAGTTTTTTTCTTTATTTATAAAATGTACCTAATCAATCTCATAAGAACTAATTGTTGATTTTTTTTTTTTCTATGGATAAATACTATTTGAGTCTGGGTTTAAGTTTGGTTGGCCTGACACTAACACCCCTTAACTTTCAACTAAACAGTTCTCTCTGTAATTATGAGACTTTTGATGATAAGAAATAGAAACTAAGTTATATATAGTGGTATGGAAGTACTGAGGAGGAAGTAAGGGACCCCATATGGGAAGACTCAAGAAGGCGTCATGGTGAAATTTTCCAAAAAGATGGGAACTCAAGAATGGGTGCAACAGAAATCACAGCTTTTCCAAATACTAAAAGGGAAAATTATAAAAAGCACCAATGGCACATTTTTGGACATTCAGAAAGATCCAGAAATTAGGTGCTCATAGGACTTCTAGGTTTGCCAAATTGTAGTGTTTTATGGATAGGAAAAATGAGGTTCAGAAACATTATAAGGAATTTTCAGAGTTAAAATACACATCAAATATGTGAGAGAAACAGAAATTACATGCTGGTATTTGGGGTCATCTCCTGAGTTGTGATGTTGTAAGTGATTTTGTATGTATTCTCCTCCTCCTTTATGTGTGGAAGTTGCATCTAGGTCTCAAGGTTAGTAGGCATTTGCTGGAGAAAATGGTGCCTTTCTGTAGTATTTCCCCAATTTGAGTTACCTGCCACCATCTAATTCACATCTTGAATGCAAGTATTATTTCTTGCAAGTATCCCTACTAATAGATAATAGATATTTCTATTATTATCCACAGATTACAGAAGAGGGTTGCTAGGAGGAATGTCACAAGATGCTGTCTGAAGAGAAAGACTGTGGAAAACCATGGCTTCAATGAACTCAGAGGTCAGGACCAGAAAAGGAAATGAGAGGTCACCAAAGCCAAATGTTAATTTCTTGGGATTTCTTCTGTACATGCAAAGAACTCCAGGCCATCCTATGATTCCTCATAAATAAGAGGAAGATTTTAACAATTATGCTCTAAGATGGAACATAACTATTTAGGAGTCATTGGGATCACCCTCCCCCTTTCCAATACTGTTCTGCTTTGACTACAAATATGTCTAATGGTTTTCTAAATTTTCTTAACCTCTAAAGTTTGAGAGCTATGTCATTTTTGTCAAGTCTGATTGTTGAGTATGTGAATGGATGTTTTTGGCTCAATGTTAGAGCCAAAATTTATAAATAATAATTATTTATAAATAATGATATTGCAAATAAACTTTAAAAAAGACCTTTAAACATAAAAATCCTTTTATATAAAATACATACTAGGTACTAGGCTAGTAACAGAAAAAGGATATACCCAACACAATTCTCTTGCCTTTCAAGACATGGAGTTAAACTGGATAAACTATAAAAGCAAATAAATGATAAAACATTTGATTTGGCTATCCTGTGGAAGAACTAAGCAGTGTTTTTAAAGCACAGAGAAAGAATATTTATCTAAGTCTGCAAAGGCAAGATATCTTTCTTGAGGCTGTGTTAGAATGAGTCTTGGAGGGAAGCAAATCTTAGACAGGGAGTATCAAAAAGTAAGGCTAGCTTGAGGTCCTGACACCTGAAAATAAATGGTGATGTGAAGGGATCTCTCAATGGGCTTCATTATTGTGTTTCTCAATGTATGAAATTCTCCAAGTTACGAAAACCATCAGTATCCTTATTTATTTAAGAAATATGTACCAAAGAGTTCCCATTCATTTGAGTGCTGGGAATACAGCATTGAATAGGACAAAAGAGATTTTTTTCCCAAAGAACTGTAATATGGAAGAAATGTAAATAAATAGAAATACAAAAAAAAATTTGATATGATAGAACAACATAGATGGATGAGAAATGAAATGTTTTACTTACAGTGGACAGAATGATATTTGAGTTGCCAAGTGAAGTTTTTTTAATCAAGGAAAATCATAGTAAAGAGTTTGGGAATGCTTATGTTAGTTGTTCTCCTAGACTGAATCAGTGGCATATACAAGAAAGAATATGAAGTCCAGATTATAGTGGATAAAGGTGAAAGAGATGCAACAGATGTGGAAACCTGGGCAGAGACCATATTATCCAGGCTTTTGTCAACCAAGATAAGGAGCTCATGTTTACTTCATGTAAAAGAGAAGGCAATTGAAGGGATCCAAAAGCAGGGGGATGATATGATCTGATTTATATTTTTAAAATAATCAGTCTGACTCTTATATGAAAATCACATTGTAGTAGACATGAATGAAAGTAGGAAACCCAGATAGAAGGTTTTTATCATAAGCCAAGGAACATATTATCTTGACTTTATGGAGTGGTAATACAGATAGAAGGAATACCCAGAATTCACATATATTTTGGATATAAAATTGGTAGTAATGGTAGTTCAATTACATGCTCAAAACAAAGATGGAATCTAAAAATAACTGCCAGAATTTTTGGCTTGAACGACTATGTAATTCGTGGGGCCAATGACAAAATTTAGGAAGACAAGAAGTGAATTTGTTTATCAAAGGCTGACATCCTAACTTCTCTACTAATGGACAACAGAAAAGGATAACAGAAATCAGAGTCTTATAGAAATTCTTACATGGAGTGTGTTAGGGACTGTCTTAGTCAGGGTTCTTCAGAGACACAGAGCCATTTGGTGAGAGAGAGGAGCTTTTAGCAGGAATTGGCTCATGAGATTATGGTGGCTGAGAACTCCTACGATCTGTTGTCTGCAAGCTGGAGGAAAACCAGTATTGCAGTTCTGTCTGAGTCCTAAGGCCCGAGAACCAGGGGAGATAAGATGTAAATGCCAGTCCGGAGTTGGAGAAGATGAAATAAGATATTCCAGCTGAAACAGTCAGGCAGAAAAAAAGGCAACAAATTTCCCCTTCCTGTTCTTTATGCCTTCAGTGTATTAGATGAGGCTTAAGTATACTGGGGAAGGCAATCTACTTTACTGAGTCCATTGATTCAAATGCTAACCTTATCTGGAAACACCATCATGGACACACCCAGGAATAATGTCTCATCTGTGCATCCTGTGGCCTAGTCAAGTTGCCATATAAAATTTACCATCACAGGGATCATTTGAAAAACATAGCTACATTTTGATTTTTTCTATATATCAATACCTGAGTCAATGAAGGTCACAAGAGACATGATACATTTCGGAAAGAAAAGTTCGGTCAGACTGATCATTTTATATATTTTAGCTTTCTAGAAATTAGAAAAAATGTAAAGGCTCCACTAAAGTTAGTTCATTTTTGGCTGAAGTATGATGGATTCACTTACTGGAAATAATAGTTAGTGGAAATGATGAGATAATATCCCGAAACCTTTATGTATGCTTACATAAAAGTAGAAAAAAAAAGGCACATATAGCTTTCTCTATAAACATAATACTTTGTCCAGAAAGCGTTCCTGAGATATACCCTTTCTCTTTGGACTGAATACTAAATCTCAAGAGAAGGAACATTTGGTCTTTGTGGTTTAGGTATGATAAAAATTACAGAAGAAACACACTCAAACAAATCATTTTTGTTGGTTTATTGCTACTTACTGATAAAGTTATCTGGTTGTTTGGAAGTTTAGGGTTTTGGCACTTAATTAATGTTAGGTGCATAGAATTGAAGCAATATCCATCTGGAGAGAAAAGTCTTATGCAGAGTAAGTATAAGAAATTCTTATATTAAAAGGTTATTGATGAGAATGCATCTAATCTGTCATGCACTTATCATGCTATAAGCCCTGTGCTTCATGTGTGGGGCTTGGACAAAGATAGAAAGACATCCTTCTTTTTCAGAGATTACTGTTTTCTGCAGTAGTTTGACACAGCTCTTGTTTTTAAAATAATAGCATTGTGTGTGTGTTTGTGTGTGTGTGTGTATATATATGTTTTAGTACTTTCAAATTGCCATAAAAATACTGATTCCCAATAATGAATGCTTAATGAGTTTACAGATAGAAACATATTTATTGAGCTACACCATAAAAAAAATGAAGAATTCAATCGGTCATTATGGTGAGAGATGGAACATACAAAGGTGATATCACAAGTGCAAGGCAGGAAGACCTGAAGACACAGAGTCTAGAAAATACATTGTGTGTGTCTTAAAATCTGGTGGGAATAAAGTAAAACCAGAAAATTACAGATACACCAATTTTTGCTATGAGAACATCAATAGAAACTAATAGTGTATTAATAAGTAATACCTCTTGTTTTAATATTGTTTGTCCTAGGAATAGAAAGGTCATCTTATAAAATAGTTAATTGACTATCAAACACAAAAATACATACATATGAACATTTCTATAGGTGCATTTTAAAAAAGTGTGATAGAGTTCATGACCTACTTAAGATAAAAACCCTCAGAAGATTAAGCAATATGCATAAATGAAAATGTCCTTAAATTGATAAAGGGTAATCAACCCAAATTTTATAGTAAATAAAATAGTTAATAGAGAATTGTAAGGGAAATTTATTTAAGATGGAAATAAGAAAAGGAAGGCTGTCCACTTTGCTTTGGTTCAATATAATATTCAAAGTCCTGACTACCACCAATATCCAAAGAAATGCTAAAGCAGAAACAAAGTTTTAAAGCTTTATAGAAAAGAGGGGAACTGTGCCACTATTTACAGATAATATTGTCATAAACATAGAAAGTTAACAGAGTAAATAGACAAACTATGACTACTAAGCAAGTATTTCAGCAATGCCGCTAAATCTGAATGATTTATCTGATGAAAGGAAAATGCTAATGATGTCAATTATATTAGCAATGTATAATTTTTATTCTATTATAATCTAAATAATAACAGAAATTTGTAACCAATTCAATATTTTGTTTTTAAATTTGATTTTAGTATTTGTTGAGCTCTACAATTTTACATAAAATTTAAGTAAGACTAGTGAAGAGATAAGAAAGCAATAGTATTACACTACCAGGTAAAACAAACTTATCACCAAGGTGTAAAAAATAAGACAAGCCAATGGCAATGCACAAAAAAAAATGAGCAATAAAATCAGATATGGAAATCCTGCTGCAGGTACAAAGGCAAGCCCAAGTAAATGAACCAAAACTCAAAGTAGTTTGCTTTTAAAAATGCAAATGTAAAACAGTAAGCTATCACTCTAAATTTATGGGACAAGTATAAAAAGGTGGATACTGTCAAGTGTTAGTGAAAATATTAAGACTGAGAAGATTCATGCATCGTATCTCTTCTGTAATCCAACAATGCCACATTGTGGGGTAAATTCAAGAGAAACTCTTACACAGATTCCTAAGCGAACATGTTCAGTGTTATTGATCAGGCCTTTTTTTTTTTAAAGTGAGGTGCTAGAGGCACTGAATGCATCTGCACTAGGAGAATGGATATTATGTCCTCTTAATAAATACTAAGAGTTACTATGGGGCATTTAGAAGTAATAAAATAAATGCACACAAGCCAGCATGTGTTCATTCTGGAAAAAAATGTCAAATTAAAAATGTAAATTGCAGAATAAAACTTGTGATGAAATAACATCTATAGTCATTTAAAACAAATTCACAGAAATATACATTTTACAAAGATATGTATCCAATAATATTTATTTTTGCTCACCTGAGAAAAAGTGGCTGATCTACTTGCACTAGAGCTCTAATAAACAAATTGATACATAAATAAAAATAAAATAATGTTAGGTATGCTTAGAAAAATCAATAAATAATACATTCCTTGGACTTGGTGTTTGGTATAGGAAAGCAAGTATTACAGTGAGGATGGGTGGTATTCGGACTGTGAAAGTTTGTATGTACTGAAGAAGCTAGACTAAAATGGGAACTCCAGCCTGTGAAATTGCGCTGTGTAGAACAGGAACCCATACGATTTAGATACGTATTTTCAGTACAAGTTTAGATTTCCGTTATATTTCACATTTGTTGAAATACCCAGACTAAACGTTCTTAGAAATCTTATTGCAATAAAACTGTTTATTCCTGGATTTCTTAAATATAGTTAGTTAATTACGATTTTCTTCACTGAATAACCAATGTTATCTTTGTAAATAGATGTATTTTGTAAATAAAATTTAAGCATCACTATTGGAATCGATAGACACTACTATTAGAATCAATAGAGAAACTGAGGATTTTTAAGATGTGAAGGGATATGATCAAATCTAATATAATTTTCTTCCTTGTAATAGGGTTATATTCAGGATATCACCATCTATTTATTGGGCATCTACACTGCACATAGCTCTGTGATGAGTGTAATTGGGAATAAAGCAGTAGGATAAGTCACAGACCTTGTTCACACAGAGCTAATTGGAGAGATAAATTTAACACACTGAGATAATTAGATGATGTGACCTACCACATATGACAGTATGTAAAGGAAGAGGCAAAGTGTGGGGAAGCTGTCAATTGACATTCAGAAAAAAGAAAAGATCAAGGAAGTTCAGATGGCTGGAGAAATCAGTGTGCAAGAAGTTGAGCTTGTTTTTTCAGGCTTAGTTCCCCACTGAGAAGAGGGCATTTGTGAGACAATGATTGTTCACATAGGTTATCGCAGTAGTCTATGTCTACTTGTCTCCAATCTTCTCCGTCAATTTTTGGAAATCTCTATTATCAAGTAAACATCCTAAAATATCACATCTTAAAATGACCAAGATCTTAAAATGGCCTTCTAGTCAAGGATACATATCCAAGAATATTTATTTTTCCTTATTTGAATTTTGCTCTTTGCAGTCGTTTTTAATTTGGTTCAGTATATACTTGTAGAGTTTGTGGGTGTTTCAGGTTTTCCTGGAACGTATATCCTACTCAAAAGAAACTTCTAGGCTGGTTTTAAGGTTCAAGACGGAGAAGAATGACCTTGCTATATTAATCAATGACCTCCATGCCAACGTAATTCACCCTAGCTTACTCATCCAAATCCTTTCCCTTCCCTTTTGTCAAAATAAGATTCTCCCCCTCAATGGCCTTTGCTGAAGACACTCAGAAATGTCCTTCTTCCTATTAGTACCTAACTACAGACACTATATTTATACTTGGATTCTCTTCACAGTATTGGGCACAGAGATCAGATGCTAAAACCCCAGGAGTTAAGCAGCCTTCTCGTAAAAGTGGCAAAGTATATTGAGTGAGTTATTTTACAAATAAAGAAAATAGTCCTAAAAGGTTAATATGTTGGAGATGAAAAAGAATCAAACCAGTTCAACATCTATATTGTCTTTAGATAACAATGGCTATTGGGGGTGGGGGGGAAAGAATAAAATAGAAACTCAATTCCAAGTAAGCATTTATTTGTCATGTTTATTGAACATGGAAATGATTAAGTACTTTGAGGAAAACAAAGATTTATGTGACACAGTCCTTAGATTGTAATCCTTTAACTTACAGTGACTTGTTTAGTGTTATCCTCTGTAAAATAAACTTGCTCTTAAACTGGGCTCCACAGACATTAACAGTTGGTGTGGCTAATGATCATGAATGAAGAGAAAAATCAGCACACAGTGTCACAGATCTTCCATTATCACTCTCACTGACATCACTTTGTCTTACTTCCCAATATTTTTGCTTGATGTATCAGGTAAACCACAGTGGAAGGAAATGTTTTTGTTTGGCTTAACAACAATTAGCTTGACATTTTTTCAGAAACCCCTTGTAGCTTGTATGTACGAATAGCTTCTATTCACTCAAAAAGGTGCACATTTTAATATGATCACATTTTCTGTGACAAAAGAAAAAGAAAATTGGAAAATGATTTTGAAGTTTGTTAAATGGAGTAAAGACAATACTGGAATGTTTTTCTCAATCAAAATAACGTAGAGTTTTTGTTCTATAACATTTTGTCTATCTTATCAGGGAGAACATTTACAGGAATGCAGGTGTTTTGTATTCAGTTGTCACAGCCACTGTATGACTGACCTGTAAACCTGCAAGAAATATTTAACAATCTTGTCAATGTTTGCCGTGGGAAAAGGCATTTTCATGTCTTCATGTTTCTTACAACTTGGGATGGTCCTGAAAGTCCCGTGTTGAAATGATGAAGTACTAGACTATTATAGTCTATCAAACATGTAAGTTAGGCTCATATTATTTGTAAATTTGTACAGGATAATATTCGGGCATATTCTACATTGAAGAATGTAGAAACCAATTTTTCTAGCAATAGGGTGGTTTTATAATCACTATGATGATTGCAACCAGTGATTCTGCATCATGCTGCAAAATGATCACTCTCTTCTCTTTTATCCAATGTGGCTGATGTCAAAGGATGGCACACACTCTGCACCAAATTCCTTAATAAGGCATTATAAACACTCTCACAAATATGCTTGTGGGATAATGATGAAGAGGTCCTTAAGGTTGTTTTCTAAGATACGTACTCCCTATTTAGACAGAGATGTTTACATAAGATCATTATATCAATTTCCCACACTGTGCCCCACCAACTCATCACTCAAATCAAGCCTGCTAAAATCCCTCTGATCAATTAGGAGAGAATGTGGTAACCAATACAAAGTTAAGTGATTTGGGAAGGTGTCTTCTAACTACTCAGCTCACGTATAACACAAATGTTCATGACATGGCCATATTGAAAGATGAAGGGTCTTCTCCTGGTCCCCATGAAAGAATCTAATAAGGATAAGTAATAACTTTCTGGGATCCCACCCTGAAATTGTTCCATGTTCACTGTTTCTGAGTATTTACTTTATGGCCTAGTCTGTTGGCTACTCCTTCATGGGCTGACCTTCTCTGATGCCATGCTGTGACTCACGCATTCTATTTTGCTTCCCACTTTAGGATTGGATGGTGCAGTTCTTTAAAAAAAATGACTGGGTTCTACTTGGGTGACCCCTTGGATGTAGAAATATGGTCTTTGAGTTTTAAAAGGTTTGTATCTGAGGAATTGAAATATTCATTTACCAGTTTCTGCAGAATAGCTCCTCTGTATTGCACTATTGGGTAAGGAAAGTTCAGTTTGTTCCTATTGGATCAGAAAGGCAGGAAAAGGGGATGTGGGTAATGTCCTGACAGGAAGATATGGCACACTCAAATTAAGAAATTAAGGATGATTTAATGAGTATATAATTTCATATGTATGGGCATAGTTGAGGAAAACCAAGAAGGGTATGCAGAATGTCAAAGCTAACAACAGAAAGGAACCAGCTAATATTATTAGTCCTGACTGGAAAACAAGAATAAGTGGTTGCTGGAAGTTGAAAAGGAAGCTAAAGTTTTTATCTGTGGATTAGGAGACAGGACCTATGGCAAAGAAGGGTGATTGTGCCCTTTCATTTTGTCCACTGATTATGAGGGGCCAGAACAAGGACATAGAAAGAATTAGGCAGGAATAAAGGAAGTAAAATACTATTGAACTTTGTTAATTGATTAGATATTTTGGGATATTATTTTCATAAATTTCTATGCAATGCCAATTAAATAAATGTTATTTTTATCATCATTCTACATATTAAGAAACCGAGAATCTGAAATCTGAAGCAACTAGATCAAAATCACATATCTTCTCCTGATTATAAAGGCTGATATTTACAGCCTTTGAGTGGTTAATTGCTATCTAATGACATTTCTAGGCAGGACCAAAAACATGATCCCATTTATTTGTACCAACAGTGTTGCTGCAAGATTCTCAAATCATATCCCTTGTGGCGGTAAGTCTTATAAAGTCCTACTTTCAAAGAGAATCAAATCATCTCTTAATTTTCATGGAATCCTTAGTCTGCTATTTTTGCTCATGTCCAGCTTTTTCCCATTCCCTGTGAACAATTTGGGAAGCATCACTTTAGGCTGAGGCTCTATTATATTCACAAGACAGATATGTTTAGAAATAAGATTTCCAATATGTTCCCCATCACCCTTTCTCCTAAACATACATTTGGAAAAAAATTCTTTTTGTAACCATTAGAATGAAATTCAATATATAATTCTGGAATGTCTCAATACCTCTTACACTTATGACATAGATAATAACCAAATGCAACCTCATGTTTTCCAGAGATTTTGAATATATGCTTGTCCTCAACTATAGGGGCAAAATTATGTTTCCTGAATACACCTGGAAAGAAAAGAAAGCATGTTTTTCAGGCAATGATACCAGGAGATAATAGACTATTAAATTATCATTCATAGAAGGGGATTTAGCAAGTGTGTGAAATCATCCTCTCCTTACACACTTGGTGCTGAAAGACTGTATACCTGTCTACTGTGAAAAAAGGAAGAAAAAAATAATCTCAATCTTTTCACAAACTCGGGTCATAGAGTTGCTTATTCAGCAAACGCTTATTGGGTGTCCTTGACATTTTTCAATGCATCTTTTGGGGGAGAAATATTTTTCTAAATCATACAGAGACACTATAAGAAATAAAGATATCTGAACTACTGTGAGGAAACATTTTGATGTTCTATGAAAGGAAATATTAAAGGAGCCTAATTTCACTGAGTTAGGCAGGAGGTCCTCAAATTAAAAAGAAAAGGAATTTAAGCTAACATTTAAAGGACAAAAAAAAAAAAAAAAAAAATTAGCCAGGTCAGGAGAGAAATAAAGAGAGTTAACATCAGATCACAGGGCAGATGATCCGCATGCTGGAAAAGAGCTTGACTAATTTGGAAAAAATTAAATTGTTGTCAGGTTGCGGTGGGAGAAAGGAAATTTAACATGAGATATAGTTGGAGAGAGAGATAGTGGAAAAATCATACGGGATCTTGTAGAACATTGTGGTAAATATCAATTTTCATTGTTATTCACTTGGGTGGTCATATCTTCATGGCAAGATGACTGTAAGTACTGATATGGAAAAAGCGAATGGAGAGACAAGGCCAGAAACAAAAACATTTTCTCCTGGAAATAGAATTCTAGCTGTTATTTTTTAATGAGTGAATTCACATAGAAATTAAGGTAACTATTGGGTACTAAGCTTCATACTTGGGTGATGAAATAACCTGTACAGCAAACTCCCAAGACACATGTTTACCTATGTAACAAACCCACACATGTACCACTGAACTTAAAATAAAAGATAAAAAGAAGAGAGAGAAGTCCAATATATTTTCGTATTTCCTGGACATTTGTATTTCTTTTTTTTTTTTAAAAAAACTACTTAAAGTTCTGGGATAGATGTGCAGAATGTGCAGGATTGTTACACAGGTATACATGTGCCATCGTGGTTTGTTGCACCCATCAACCGGTCATCTACATTAGGTATTTCTCCTAATGCTATCCCTCCCCTAGCAGCCCACCCCACAACAAGCCTGGTGTGTGATGTTCCCCTCCCTGAGTCCATGTGTTCTCATTATTCAACTCCCACTTATGAGTGAGAACGTCTGGCGTTTGGTTCTCTGTTCCTGTGTTAGTTTGCTGAGAATGATGGTTTCCAACTTCATCCATGTCCCTGCAGAGGACATGAACTCATCCTTTTTTATGGCTTCATAGTATTCTACGGTATATATGTGCCACATTTTCTTTATCCAGTCTATCACTGATGGGCATTTGGGTTGGTTCCAAGTCTTTGCTATTGTGAACAGTGCTGCAATAAACATACGTGTGCATGTGTCTTTGTAGTAGAAGGATTTATAATCCTTGGGGTATATACCCAGTAATGGGATTGTTGGGTTAAATGGTATTTCTGGTTGTTCTAGATCCTTAAGGAATCGCCACACTGTCTTCCACAATGGCTGAACTAATTTACACTCCCACCAACAGTGTAAAAGCCTTCCTTTTTCTCCATATCCTATCCAGCATCTGTTGTTTCCTGACTTTTTAATGGTCACCTTTCTAACTGGCATGAGATGATATCTCATTGTAGTTTTGATTTGCATTTCTCTGATGACCATTGATGATGAGCTTTTTTCTTATGTTTGTTGACCACATAAATGTCTTCTTTTAAGATGTGTCTGTTCATATCCTTTGCCCACTTTTTGATGGAATTGTTCTTTTTTTATTGAAAATTTGGTTAAGTTCTTTGTAGATTCTAGATATTAGTTCCTTGTCAGATGGATAGTTTGCAAAAATTTTCTCCCATTCTGTAGGTTGCCTAGTCACTCTGATGATAGTCTATTTTGCTGTGCAGAAGCTCTTTAGTTTAATTAGATCCCATTTGTCAATGTTGGCTTTTGTTGCCATTGCTTTAGGTGTTTTATTCTTCACTTTAAGTAAGAAATGTACCGTTTTAATTAAGAGCATATTGTTTGAACTTGTAATTTTACTGCTAAAAATTTATCCTAAGTAAATTAATGGATAGGCTCACAAGGACATGTTTAAAGGATGCTAATCACAGCATTGTTTACAATAGCAAAAAGAAAAAAATGGTGCAAATAGCAAAAGAGTACGGTATGTTTGTATAATGAGAAGATTATGTGGTCATATAGTTATTGATATGAAAAGTTTTATATCATGCATTAATTTTAAAAAGCATATTACAAAATATCATATGTAGATTAAGCCTACCATTATTATAAACAATATTAACGTCTCTGTGCCCTATTGGATTTTCATTCACATAGATGATATATTTATTACTTTTAGAGTCATATGAAAGTCATGACAGCCATTTTTAATTTGAAAATGACAGTTATACAAAAGTTCATTTTTATTTCTTTTACTTTTGTCTTCTCTTAATTTATTTTACTATTTGAAAATCATTATTTTCAAAAAGTATTTTTTATGCCTAAATCAGGAAACGATTATTTGTAAGATAATTTTCTAGAATCTGTCTGCTTCTATGTCATCTGGAATGCATGTCCCATATTGTTCCTCAAATTTCCTTACTGCTGCCATTCAAAATGTTAGTAATGGGGCATAGTATAAAAATCATCCTTTGGAATCAGGCAGTCTTGAGTTCAAACTCCAGATGCTACTTATTTAACTGAGCAAAATACAGGATAATTATACACACTTTGATTCCCACTGTTTTAAGTCTCTGTAATGCATTTAGTATAGAGTCTACAACACAGAAGGAATTCAATAATAATAGCTTTAAGTACTATTACCTCTTAAAAATTTGTCCTTAGAATAAAGTAATCACAAGTGAAAGCAAAAATACGTGCCATCTCCCAAACTTGCTTTAGCTTAGCTCATCCAATTATCTTATATATAGCCATTAAAAGTGGTCATTATAATAGCATTTGAAAAACGTTTAGTATATTATGTGAAGACCTTTAATAAAAATAAATTGGTTACTGTGTAAAAGAGAGAGAGAGAGAGAAGGAAAGAAGGTCCAGATACTGTACTGAGGAAGAATTATAGTAGAAGAGACGATTGCAAACAAACTAGGAAAGAGTTCAGACATGTGGAAGGAAGCCCCAGGGAAAGGGCTGTTCTGGAGGCCCAGAGAGGAAAGAAATGTTTGAAGAGTGGTCTACTTGGCCGGGCGCGGTGTCTCACGCCTGTAATCCCAGCCCTTTGGGAGGCTGAGGCGGGCGGATCACGAGGTCAGGAGATCCAGATTATCCTGGCTAACACGGTGAAACCCCTCTCTACTAAAAATACAAAGAAAATGAGACGGGCGTGGTGGCGGGCGCCTGTAGTCCCAGCTACTCAGGAGGCTGAGGCAGGAGAACGGTGTGAATGCGGGAGGAGGAGGTTGCAGTGAAATGAGATCGCGCCACTGCACTCCAGCCTGGATGGCAGAGCAAGACTCCGCCTCAAAAAAAAAAAAAAAAAAAAAAAAAAAGAAAAGGTCTACTTGGCGAAAAAACCTGAGTAATCTAATGAGGTGCAGATGCAAAATATCTATTGAATTTGCCCCTAGTGACCCTTGCAATCCATAGTCAGAGCGGTAGACTGGATTGAATCAAGTAGATTAAACCAAATAAGGGGATGAAAGAAAAAAATGGGATCTTAGGAAATAGAGACAGTAGTTATATACATATTTTAGCTTACCTTCAGAAGCAAATTTCTTCAGATAACAGTTTATAAAAATATATGGGACCATAGGATAACATTTTTAATGTTTATATTTGTATATATAAATATTAGAGAAATGGGATCATGCCCTATGTTATTTAGGATAGACCAGTAAATAAAGAGAATTTGATGACTGGAGATTGAGAGGGATGGCCAAACTGTAGGATCAAAATCCCTGAGCAACATAGAAGAGGTGGAGAGAGGTTATAGTCCAGAGAAGATGGAGAGGAATTGGCCTTTGACTCGGCATCATTTTCTCAGTAAGAGGGAATAACTAATGGATCATTAATTCATCCATTCATTCTAACAGAAAAAAAAAATGAAAGTATTTGTTAATTTCATTATGATCCAGCCACTGTGCCAAAGGCTGGGCATGTTTAGGTGAGAAGACCAACATGGTCTCTGTCATCATGGGGCTTTCAGTCAAGCACAGGTTACAGAAAATAAATAAACAAACAAATGAAAAACAAAGTAAAATGAAATGACTTAAAGAAAACAAAAAGGGCTGGGCTTGGTGGCAGGCACCTATAATCTCCTGGGAGAGGAGGATCACTTGAGCCCAGGAGGGCAAGGTCACAGTGAGCTATGACTGTGCCACTTCCCTCCAACCTGGGTGACAGAAAGAGCAAGGCCCTCTCTCTAAAAACAACAACAACAATAGCAACAACAAAGAAAACAAAAAGTGAGGTTGAATGTAGTGAGAGTGATGAGGGGAGGGAGGGAAGTTTAGATAGAGTAGTCAAGGGAGGCCAGTATCCTCTTGGAAGAGGGGGTGTTTGTGCAGAGACCCCAGTGAATGTGTAAGCTGTTCCAGATCTGAAGGAGGATCCTGCCAAAAAGGCAAAGAATCAAAGAGGAGAGGAGTTTGGAGAGGTATGGCCACCAGAGCTGTCCCTAAACAAAAGCATTTATATACCACAGCAGGAGGCAGACACTGTTGCAGTTACTTAGGGTTTGAAATCATTTAAAAGAAAAACTCTGATGTTAGCTTATTTAAGGAAGGATCTATTGGCAACCTACCCTGTAGCACTTAACCTTATATTGCCCCATAATGATTCTTTTCTTTTTTCCCCCCTGAGTATTTTGAGGTAAAACTCCGCATGGTGTACTCCCTTACGTATCTGTTTCAATACTGTATTTAATCTTTTAAAAATATCACCTGTATTTGGCACAGAACTGGTTCCCAAATATATTACAAGCATTATGCCAGTCTCCAATAACTGCTGAAATGCTGTTACCTGATGTTTCAGCTGCTATCAAGTTCCTAGTTGCTTTGAGACTGTTTTACATTTCATTAGTATAATGATAGAGTTTACAGTTATCTACAGTATGTAATTACATCCATTAATAGTAACACTGCATTTTTACATTAATTATAATGAGAATTAATGAATAGTTATGTGGATTTTCAGCTACAGGGAAAAATTTGGGTATAAATTATTCTTATATAGCTAAAGACGAATTTATGGACAAATTTACCTCAGTAATTCTTTTAGGAAAATATGAGATTTCAAGTTCCAGTAACCATGAATTATGAAATTTAAAAAATATATAAAATGAGAAATTAGAGCCTGTAACTGTACATGAAAGAGGTTTATTGTAAGAGGAGACAGCATG